GGCCGAGGGTGCGTGGGTCAGTCGCGGGTTGGAGCGGGCGGCGCTGCGCGGGGACGGGAGCGCTGCCGCTGAGCGAACCCCGGCCGGCAGCCCTCGGTTCGCGGTCCCGGGTGAGGGACTCCCGGCGAGCGGCCCCTGGTGCGCGATCCCGAGTGAGGGATCCCCGGTGCGCGATCCCGAGTGAGGGATCCCTGGTGCGCGGCCCCCGGTCAGTGGCCGCTGGTGAGTGACCCCCGGTAGGTGACCCCCCCCAGTGAGGGTCCCCCCGGGTGAGCGACCCCCGGTGAGCGACCCCTGGTGAGGGACCCCTGGTAAGTGACCCCCGGTGAGGGACCCCCGGTGCGCGGCCCCCAGGGGGTGTCGGGCCGGGGATGGGCGCGTTCCTTCCCCATCCGGAGCCGAGCGGGGCCGCGGCGGGAGCTGTTAGTTACAACCCTTTCAGAGTTTCCAATAAAAACTCACCATTCTTGAAATGCAAAGCCTGAAAAACGAAACAAGTGTACAGTAGGAATTCTTGTTGCCAGCACTGATCCGGACATAAGTTATCAGAGAGTGTAGCAAAACTAGCAACAGAAATAACCTTTGGCTCTATAGCACCGCTGTGCATTAGTTGGTTATGGCAACAAAGTTTTGCTTTTAAACCCATCAACTAAGGAAACCTTTCCAGAAATGTGAGATTATAATGCTACTTTTCTTGAGAAGTTGTGAGGCCTTAATACAGTGTACACAGATGAGATGCTGAAATAGGAGAGAGTCCAGTTCCTGCTGATCAGTGGAGATGAGGAATCAGGTATGCTGAGCAGGCTTCGAGCTTTGTGAGTTTTACAAGTCTGTAAGTTTTTCCTAAGTGGACTATTTCAAATCTGTTTTAGGAAGAAACACTATTTTCTGTTTTATCCACTTTCCATACTGCAATTTATCCCTAAAATTCAGCCTGTAGTTTCAAAAGATAAAAATCCTTAGACTAACTCTTTTGGCCTCAGTAGCCAATTGCAACTTGCCCAGGGAAGTTCAGAAGCAGCACCATTCATTAAATACACTGTTCTGTACCAGAGATCCCACAGAGATTCAGCTCCAGTGCTAAACCCCATAGAGTGTCAGCTGCCATAACAGCTGATTTTTGACTTTGGTGAGATTATCTCCTGTTTTCTTTGGTGGATGATGATGATGATGATGATGATGATGAGCTGGCACAACTGGAGCAAGGGGTCTGGGCAAAAGTACATCCTTATCAGGGTCCAGTACAGATAATGTTACAATTCATGTTACAACGTTACAGATAATGTTAGCCATTCCTCTAATTAAGGAAGGCAATTAGATACAGAAATTTATTTTCAGAGGTTAAAAGAATGTGAGGAAACATTTTTCTTTCCTTTTGCATTTCACATGTAAATAATGTGCCATATATAATATTATATAATATATCTTAAAAGAATTTTCCAGTTAGCAAGAAGTTTAATGGGTTAGTTTGACATCAGTGTTTTGATTATGTTTCGCTGAATATAAGTTCATAAGGAATTGCTAAGGATTTTTTCCTTCCTTCCCTACACCCCCAAATTTCTTGTAATCAGAAGGCTATAGAAGAGTTTTTAATAACTGTTATTTGTGTTTCTCTTCTGGAGCCATAGGCATTACTGAGAACCAGCTGGAGTAATGCAATGAATTATTTTCTTTTCCTAGAAGACATCATGGCAGCCCATCAGGAGAAAAAACTTGCTCAAGAAAGAAAACACAAACCCACCCAAAATGATACTCAAACCTCTCAAGTGCAGTGGGGAAGAGCATGGTGAGAGAAGCTGATAACCCTAATTAGTCCTTGTATTTCCAAGTGCTTCATACTTAACTGCTAAAGTTGCTCAATTCCTGTTAATAACAGACTGTTGTAGTGCCCTGCCCTTGAAGGCTCATGGATAATTTCCTGTAGCAACAGATGCCAAAGGAGAGTCCTTCAAGATTTTTGAGGCAGAGAGTTTCCCAGATGGCTTGGGCTGAAACACAGTCCTTGCAAAAAAGGAAAGTGAATCGTAAAAATTGGTAAAATTTGTAATTCCTTCAAGGACCAAAATATTTCCTGAGCTTTGGAAAGCGGGCATCCCGACATCTGTGTATTCCCAGCTGACAGCTCCTGCTGTAGCAGGATTTATGGCTGATAACCCTGTTCTCCCAGAGCTGGGCAGGTGTTGGTGGGGTGTTGTATTGCAGCTGGAAACAGCCACTGCTGCCTGGGGCTTTCCAGACAGCGTGTGGGACAGGGAGTTCAACTCCTGGCCATCCAAGGTCCGTCTTTTCTGTCTTCCCAAGCTTTTCATAATGTTCTTGGGGTTCTGTTATCACTTCCAGCTGAATACTCTACCAGCTCTAGCCACGATTGCCATCAAAGCCATGAAGTCTGTAATTATTATCTGCTTTCCTGAGGGCAGATAATGTCTAATGTGTGGCTGTGATCAAGTAGAGTAGTTTTATAACAGTTTGAGGTAAAGTGTGTTCTATGTTCAGTGCTAAATTTTTTATGGCTATTTGACCCCCAGAAATGTATATACCATAAAAACATTTTCAGTTTTCATTCACTTAGTCTGGAAGGGCCACTGAAAAAAATTTGTCTGCTATAATTAAACCACTTCTCTACCTGAAAACCAGGGAAAAAACTGCTGTGTTTTGGATTGCAGGGAGGTGGACTGGTTTTCCTTGGCAAGCATCCTTTTCCTGCTCCTGTTTGCCCCACTGATTGTGTATTACTTCATCATGTCCTGTGACCAGTACCAGTGCTCTCTGACTGATCCCCTCAGGGACTTGCTCACAGGGAACAAACACCTGTCTGACATCTGGAACAAGACTCCCACGCTGACCTACAGGGCTGCTGGCATCTATTCCCTTTGGGTGGCTTTCCAGGTACATCACTGAGTTACGAACTGCTGAAGGGTCTGGTTTTTCAAACAACTCTTGGATGAATCCTTTTACACAAAGGATAGTGGAATGTAGCCCTGGCATTTACTCTTTAGTGTTTCTCACTTTCCATGGATTTTGGAATCCAAGTGAAGCTTATGGACTGGAAAAATAAGTGTATGGGGA